AAAATCGCACGGTGCGTTCATTAGTAGACCCCTCTCCAAACGCAGCACTGATATTGCGGGCTGTTTCTGCCGCGTTAGTTCCGCGTCGGAACTCGTATTCAAAAATCATTCGAATTTTCGCAGTATCCATCTTTCTTGTCTATTTTGAATAACAAAAACAATTGAAAGTCGATATTCAAATGTTTCAAATTTAAAAAAAAAAAGAAATCACAGAAACCATTTGAAAAAAGTTTCATTCGAAAACCTCAAACCATGAAGATTCTATGAAAATTCAAAGAACCTATTGCAATAAAACGGCAATTTCATACTTTAACCCCTAATATTAGACATAACTGGTTGAAGACTGTTCCACCTCAGTCAACCGTGACCATGGGACCTGTAAAGGGCCCGAAACGTCGGTTTGTTTGAAGAAACAAATATACGCGATTTAAATCCGGAAAAATAGTTTCATTTCCTAAGTTTACAACATTTAAAATTGTGTAATATTCATTTGTTACATCCATTCTCGATTTTGGAAGCATGGTTTGGAACCCATTGTACAAATGTAATATCGATCGAATAGAAAGAGTAAAGCAAACAATTCATCACAATTCTTAATTGTGCTAATTATTTTTAGCACAGTTAAGAATATATCACAATTGACGAAAAGATATCACAATTGGCAAGCTGCGAGGGAATCATCACCTTTAACCTTGAAACGGACATCATACAGCATGAAAGAATGAATCCTTTCTATACGACATGCTAGAGTGGCAAAGGAAAGATTGCAAAGCGCTTTTTTTATCAATACATACATATAATAAATTTCTAAAGAACCTGTGTCTGGCTTTTAATGAAAAATTTTAAGTAAAAGTTCTTAGGTACTAAAGATACCCGCCACCCGTCTGCAATGACACGTCTACACTACTCTACCCAAGTTTGGTGTAGAATATTAATGACCAACGAGGTGTGAAGAACATTTTTTGTCCATGTTCATTCATTGTTTAGACTCTGCCCACGACCTGCTCGCGTAATAGGAAACTAATTGAGTAACTAATTGGGTTATGTAGAAGTACCTAACCAATCTTGGCAAATCGCAGGCGTATCTATTCTCCGATTGCCGATTGTCTCCAGCTACTTGTAATGGACATATCCTCCAATTTGAACTTCGGCAGATACTAGAATCCATGGCCAAAAATGCACCCAAGAATCTTGGCATCCTTTCCAGGGTGAGGCGTTACTTCACACCGGAACTGTTGCTTTAGCTGTATCAAGCATAAGTCCGGTCGTGTATGGAGTACTGCTGCCACCTATGGATGGAGGGGATGGCTCTGCTAGATACCAACTGGCCTCCTTGGAGTCAATCGACAAGCGTGTCAAGAGTGGTATAGGTGACTCGGAATCAGTAGAGACAAAAATGCAGAGCCTTGAATATCGCCTGAAAATTGCTTGCTTACCTGTATTCTACAGGATATATCACGGAGAGTGTGCGATGGATTTACACGATTTAAGGTCGCCTTCCCCTTTCCAAGACTGGGGGACTAGGCGTAGGCTTGGGCTCCACCCCTGTGTTGTGGATATTCCAAAGATCGCACGAAGCGTTAGGGTTCCATATTTATATGGTGAACGGCCATGGAGTGAAATTCTGAATACTATAACTTGGGCCATTTCAAGGCGAGAGTGAGTAGGCATTATTTAGGTGTGCATGTTCCATCATCGACCTTATCGTCACTTTCCACCAGGTGATATGGAGGTCGAATGCGCTCTTATATACTTTATACAAAAAAAAACTATTATTGGCAACACTGGAGCCAAAACTTCAAACAATATACTATAATCCTGAATATTTTCTTGAAGACTTATCGTACTAAAAATTATTATTTGTGTGCTAACAAATACATAAAAAAAACTATAATATTGTTTTTTTTACGATTACGATACGACGACGATACAGCCACTGCGCCATCACACTGAGACATAAGTTGATAAGTCCCATGTGCATGTAATTTCACCAGCACCCTTATCCTTCTAAACCGGAACGCAGTAATGCTCACATTACTACTTGGTGGCAGAAATAGGTATGGTGACTGTGGCCAAGTTCTTCAGGAGCTCTACTGTCACATGGTCACGGCTTAATGAGATGGTATTAGTCATCAACCAGTTATGTCTAGTTCAAATTATTTTGGGAATAACTTGATTTGCACAACAGTTACAAAAATTAATAATTTAATTGCACCTTTTCTTTTAACCTTATTTGTAGTTTAACAAAGAACATAATTTAATGTATAGAATAAAATATATTAGTGAATTATTTGTTTTTGGACAGTTAACCACTTGAATAATTATGTTTGATATTATTTATTGGTGCATAAGATGCTCTGTACAACCTTTATGAACATTTGTGCAAACTGAACAGCAGAAAAAAGGGTTCAACGCAAGTAAATGAAGAAAACCAAAGATATGAAACGGGTTGAGAAAATCCACGATAACTAATAAGAATTGCAGCTAGCAATCTAGGAAAGGTACATACGTATTATTGAGGTGGTACATACAGGGTCTGTACGGCATTTCATCACTGAGACCAGCAATTGATCTATTGTGATAAATATCAGAGTGTTAGAGTGCCAATCAAGTGCTACACAACGACATCAATTATCTAGCCTCAAACTAGGTATCGATGACTCGGCTCGAAGGACCAAAGATGTTGATAATCAGGTTCAGGATCAGTGGACTGTATATGTTCTTAACTGGGATATTGCTCTTGTAAGTTCGAAATGAAACACTTGTTCACTGCTTAGAAAACAACTTCGTTTATTGTTTTTTTTTGTTTTTCTTTTGCAGATAGCCTTGACTGCGCCACTGGATATAAGAGCGAGCTGAAGGCTCTTTACTTCCGCTAGAAGGGCGTGCTGTAGGGGAGAATCTACTGTACGTGCTGACGTGGGGGGCTCTACGATCTTGCTGACGAGCACGGTTGCCCGATGGAGCATTATGAAATGACTTATTCTGAAATGGCGACCATGTCAATGAAAACGTAGTGTAGGACGCCCTGCGGCAAGATGGACAGACGACTTGAGAAAGGGGGCCGGCAGCGGCTCGATGCGGGCGGCACACGACTGGGAGAGTTGGCGTTCTCCAGGGAAAGCTTAGAGGCATTCTTGGTGTTCCTTTTTTTCCTTTCCCTTATATCTTCCCCTCAATTATAGCTCCAGTGTCAAGTACAGGACCACAACATTTAAAACAACTATTTTCAGTGCAAAACATACCTGCATATTAAATAAAAAATACATGAGTCAATGGATGAATAAATATTTAAATTATTTTTGAATATGCTTATTGTTGTATATATAATTTGCCATGACGACAATTTATTGTATATATAATCTGCATTAATTTTATTAAGGCTAATCAGAAAAGCTACAAAATGCTGCGGTACTCCAAATTGGTCCTTGTGTTCGGTGCTTTGTTGGTGGTAAGAATTTTATATTATTCTTTTTTTATTATTGATTTTCCTTTGCGGTGTACATATTTACTCCAAGGAAAAATTAGTAGTCTGAGAATTGCAATGGTTTCGATATTCGGCATATTTTGACCTTCCAGACTTTATTAGTTTCATATTGTACTTTTCAGAATCCTAATTTATCTCTCATAGTTCGAAGTAAGTTAACGTTACTGTAGAATTTTCTGAACTACTTTTTTGTAGGCCGCCCGTAAAAAAGCGGAACTGTACCTTTATCATGAACTTACAGTCATATATGTTCGATGATTTTCTATAATGGTTAAACCTATGTCAGCTTTAACGTCTTTCCCTTTCTCAGACACTGGCACTGGTGGCAGAAAATGAAGGTAAGTAATTATTTGCATATAAACTTACGTTTTTTAAAGGGTTTAGTTCCAATTTATGTTCCAATGTTTTGAAACGCTTTACCTATCAATGGCGAAGGACCTTTCTTTAAGTAATCTATTATCCAACGTGGTAGAAGGTATTGAACAAGAAATGTATTGCCTTGCAGCATTTGTTGCTCACCTCTTTGCTACTGGTACACACGTAGTATAAAATATAAACAGGGTCTATATGAGACATTGTAAAATATTAAAAGAAAGAAATTAGTCCAAGATCAACTTCTGTTTTACTGATATACTCAACTACCACCTCAAAAAAATGTCGACATTCGAAATAAGTTTTCTGAATAAAGTGTAATGTGTTGGGAATCGAAATTAGTTTTTGCTATTACCCTAACACCTACTGGCCTAAAGTCTCATCAGCAATCGTCAACCATAAGGAAACAAAAGTTTTAAGAATAGAACTGCAGAACTGAACACTGTTATCTGAAGTACCTACCGTAAAATTAAGTACAAGTTATCAAAAAAGCTACTACCATATTTCCTCTGGCGGAACTCACTTATGAAAACAAACCCAGAAAAGAATTTCCGTTCTCCTACAATTTTCCGATAGCCTAAATTGTGTACATTTTGTTTAGGGATGCCATTTATTTCGCGAACAGAGAAATATTTTGGCTAAGTGTTATGTTTTATTATTATAAGCACAATCCGTTGGAAAGTGATATTTTTGTTACACTTTGTTAAGGCAACAAAAATTTAACAACTTTCTTTTATTATCATTATCAGTGAGCGCTGCCCCAGCACCGTTTGAAAGTAAGCCGTGTCCTCCTGCGCCATGCGCTCCACCGCCACCTCCGCCACCACCTCCTTCTTGCCCTCCTGAACCATGCGACGATGAGAAAAATAAGAAAAAGAATAAAAAGGGCAAAGGTGAGTAATTTCGTGGGCAAATTAGACGAGATACGTACAACGATCTCCAAACCCCTGTCGAGCGCAGCTGTTTCATCAGGCCTATGTCCAAAGGATAAAGTGTGGTGTTGATGATCTAAATATTCACTTTCCGAGTGAGATTCAATACCCCAAATGTTCTCAAATAATTATAACAGCATCGTCATTAAAACTGAAAGTAGATTATTTCCATAATTCATAATTTATAACTATAAATTTATTTTAATTATTAATATAAATATCGAACACAAAGAAAAATTCTTTCGATCTAACAGGACTCGAAACTGACTTGACTTGACTGCCTGTTACCATGCCGGACTGCCACGCAGAGGTCCCAGATTCGATTCCCGGGTCGGGAGAAATATTTGTATGGCCTACATTTATTTCTCTCGTGAGTTTGGGTGTTAATTTGTGGTTGTGTATGTAATGTGTCCATGGCACCCGCGACACAGGGTTTCCCTAGTGCGGGGTTATGTTGAGTGTATGCGTTATTATTATTAAACTGTGTCTATTTTGCCAATCTGGGGCAAATGCTCTACCAACTGAGCTACAAATCGAGTCAACCGAACTTACAAATGTTTCTACACCATCATTTTGTTCATCATTTATTTGATGAACCATAAACTTAAAATTCTTTAAATTATGAAATAGATAAATGTTTTCAATAAAACTATTAACACATTCGCATAATAATGAAAGGCGCGTGTGGCGACCCGCGGAGATTGTGCGATTGTGCGCGTCCGTACACAGTACGCGACAGGCGCACACACACACAAGCCACGCTGCTGCGTTTGTATGGAATTCTCATACGTGTCCTACTATACTGTGCAATGTATGAGAAGAGAGATCAATAAGATAAAATCTCTGGCTTCTGTAGATTCACTAGGCGCCCTTTGAAGACATTGATTCTTTCTATATCTGCGTGGGTCATACATTGCTGATGTCCTTTCTTTGTTACAGATTGCTAGGACTGCGGGTGAGTCTTATTTTGAGGCACTTATATTTAGAGATTTAAATGTGATTGAGTCTTTTATAAAATATATTTCATTCATTTTATTGTCTATGTAACAGCCACTGCTAAATATAATGAATGTATTTGCATTTACAGGCAAAGGTCCAGGTCGACTAAATAACACATGTAATAAATATCAATTTATGAAAAAAAAAATGTTTTTTTTTACGTTAAACTTTATTGTTGTGGTTTTTGTGCGTTACCAATATAAATAAATATAATCTCAATACTAAAAAAGCCGATCTCAAAAGTCCCTAGAATTACATCTATTTGCCAAATTTTATTGAAACTGGATTCATAATAAATAAAATTAGCGCTTAAATAAAAAAAAAATAGTAATAAAAAAGACCCCACAGGTCGACAATTTAAAAAAATATATTGACATAATTTTTTTGAAAATGATAAGCATCAAAATGGCATCAAATTTTATTATTACATTAAAATTTCGAACATCTCTGAAAAACAAGACAATTTGATTCGACCTCAATGCTAATATCAATCGAGATGAAGTTTTATTCGAAATGAAATGTCAATAGCAAACAGTTTTGACAAATCTCACGCGTTACTTGATATCGAACGATGGAGCCGACTCTAGTTTCTCTACGAATTACAAATAAAATTACGGTTGCGTGACAGGTGTGAGAAAAGGTTTTTATTTGTTTAAATATTGCATCACTTTTGTGTAAAATGAATGATCAGATAGTGATCAAGATATTTCGGAGACGTCATGTCCACGACAGAGCAACGAACGTTATAAATGACTTGTTACCAGCAAAGTCAAGGAAGCAGTACAAAAAAGTTACCAAGATTTTATGGAAATCAGGGTATCAGTGCCTCTATCACAGTGAGTTGTCGTTAGTGACCGCGTCATTTACTTCACACTTTTATATGAAAAATAGTACAGCGCCCCTAGCGGTCATAAGTAGAAGTGACATTTTGAATGAAATTTTTGACGTAGTCGCTAGCGAGAACAGTTACTGAAAACTCATGGTAGTGGCAGAGAACTTGCCGCACATCTCGTATTCACCGGATTTGGTCCCATTTGACTTTTTAAACTAATTTTATACCGATTTGTATCAAATGTGGAACTGGTAGCAACAGAGGCTTAATTTTCAGTTTGACAAAACAAATTTTTTTTCATGGGTTAAAGAAGTTGGAATAACGCTGGTCAAGGTGTACTTATAGAATTAAAAGGAGATTTTGTAGAAAAATAAACCATAATTTAAAGAAACGTGTTTTTTTCTGCTCAAAGAAAGACCAACGGCTATTTTACAGAGTAAAAACTGAAACAATAATGGAGCGACAATTATGAGTCTTCGCCGATAGACACACATTAAGTTAATAATAATTATAACTAAATAACTGTAGTATACATATAGGTCATGACTAATTACATTTTCGCAAGACTTAGTAAATACCTACTCGCCAAAAAACAAACTATTATTATGACGCTTCACCCATGCAACACTAGTGTTAAGAAGGTCAATATCAACCTGCTTGGACAGTACATTAAAGCTATTACGCAAGACATATGCATTCCGCTGAAAATTCGAAGAGGCCATAGGTAATAGATAAGTTTTAGATACTATTATGCTTGCCATCGCGGTGCAAGGATTTGCCAATCGGGGTAAGGTACTCGATACGGTCGATTGTACTGTAGACGTACAGGAAAAGAATGGTAAAAATTTAAATCTATATAAATTGACTTTCTAAGGTATTACGTGATGAAATGGGGTTTTACAAGATAAGACGAAAAAGCTATATAATTAAATCTAGTTTTAAGAGGCCTGAAACGTTCGGGCGTTTATGTCGGCCTCGTAATGTATGTATACATATAAATAACTATCCTACTTTATCTGTCACTACTCCCATAATATGAGGTATTGCTCCTCATCGGAAAGCAAGACCTCACATAGGAGTATAGAGCTTCAGCACTCTTCGTCAACAGGTAAGCAACCTTGCTTAGCATTAAATTTAGCTCTCCTACTTGACCAATGTCTTTTAATTCATATTGCATTAAATGAAGCATGTCTTCCAACTTGTATAATATAATGTATAATAAGTATAATGTGTAATACAGAATTCTATCAGATTCTAATCAGAATTAGACGAAAAAACTATTAAATGAAGTGTTTTATTGAATGTCAGTGTGTTTCACCACCATGGTATTCAATTACTTTTTTGTGAAATTACTGCACTAGTTTGTTATAATCGAACAGTTTTTTTGAACACGAAATTTCTTATTTCCGACCGAATTCGAACCGACGTCTTTTAGCAAACCGTGGCAGACGCTATGCCAACTAACGCCACAACGTAACAATTAAATTGTGAAGTAAAATAACGAAGCACTCATGTTTACGACTTAACCGATGGGTTGTTAGCAAAAAAAAATGTACTCCAATATCAATCGCAAAGACCTAATTAATAACTCGATAAGTATTACAGGATTGTTTGTTTTTGAACAATTAGTCTCTACTTACCTACATATTTTTTAAACAAGTATACGCTGTTGTCTGAAAATAATAATCTAGAGAGACACTAAGTAAATCGTTTTGATACATTTGTGCAAACAGCGATAAATATGGTTCAACACAATGTCGAAATGATGAAAACGAAAGTCTTCTATGTAAAACTGTTTGGATAAATACACGATACCTAATGAGAATTCCAGATTGCAATTAACGTAAGCACCTATATTATTGGGATGCTTTATTCAGGGCCTGTATGGTGTTTTACGATTCCTTTATTATCTTACAGCTGCTTATGCTACCGTGTCTACAATTTCACTGCTAACTGCTGCTGGTGCTGCAACTACTTGGGAATTTTTTTTTGTTGGAAACAGGGTACTTCAGCATAGGCCCCATTGAAATATGATGAAAATATTCCACCTTTAAGGATGGCAAACTAGGGGATGGAATTGTGTTAGCATCGCCACCTGGTGAGCGTCTGCTAACACTACGCCGCGGCACTGCGTCGCGGTGTCTTACGTCAGTTGCCTAGTAAACTAGACAAACCACCTAGTTCTGTGGCCGCTCGCTAGATGGCGCTAGTCAAATAATCGATTATAATGTATATCCAGGGCGCCAGAGGACGCCTTGCTCTAGTATACAAGTAAAATGGTAAAACTTGCTCAATCTCTCTTACGACCCCCTCAGGGAACAACCCCACCGCGTACGTAGGACCCGTCGGTCAAGGGAAGTCCTCAACGACCCTGACGACCCTATCACTCTCGCCACTTTGAAGGCCAACCAGATCGCTAGTCAGTCCCGTTCCGCACGCACCAATCGTCCTCGTAGGCGAGGTCGTAGAGCCCCTCATTTCAGCACGTACACTGGTAGATTCTCTCCAACAGCGCGCCCTTCTGGCGGAAGTCTCCAGTAGCGCACTGAGCCGAGGTCCGTGCTCACTTGGGCGCCCTCAGGCCCGCTACTTAGCTTTAAGTTTATTTTAGGGTTTATGAGCCTTCAGCTCGCCCTTTTGTCCGATGGCGCAGTAAAGGCCATCAATCTCTTATGCATCATCTCAACACGCAACATACAAGCCACAGCCTGCGTTTTCATTTACCACGTACCACGGTTTAATAAATTGTATACTTTAAATATAACATTCATTAAAAATAAAATATCAATGTTAACGTTTTAATTTGATATCACAATTGCGATGTAATCAAATAAATACACGTAATCATCTTCAACCTTGAAACGGACACCATACAGCATGAGAGAATCCTTCCGATATCAACATCCTAGAGTGCAAAGGGCAGATTTGCAAAGCGTTTTTTATCAACACATACATATAACAAATGTCTAAAATAAACAAAATAGGCTATTTTTCCGGATTTAAATGACGTATATTTGTTTTTTCAAACAAACCGACGTTTCGGGCCCTTTACAGGTCCCATGGTCACGGTTGACTGAGGTGGTACAGTCTTCAACCAGTTATTTCTAATATTGATGCAAACCACTCTATTTTTTCACTATAGTTACAATAGTTATTAATTAAATAACTTATTTTTAATTTTACAAAGAAAACATTCCAATTTACGCTATATTAAGTTTTACAAATTATTTTATTGAATTATTTTTTATTAAGTTCAATTTATTATTAATTATTAATAGAAATTAGAATAAACTAAAACATATTAAATAGTACTGCTGTAGTCTTATGTCTGTTTGGGATTTTTATTAGAGGAAATACTGGATACCAAACTGGTGGTAAGGAGAAACCATCTTCCCTGTTGAAATTAGGATGCTTTTTAATTTCAATGGCCTCTCACAGCATCCTGGGTAGATAATGGACTTCTTTTGCAAGAACCTGGAGTTTGTCAAACTTCATTGAATGTGTAGGTTTATCCATGACATGCTCGCAGACTGCAGACTTGTTTACGCGACGGTGTTTGACATCAGCTATATGTTCTTTGACGCGGGTACAAATACTTCGCTTTGTTTGTCCAATATAAGAGACCGCACTCACAGTCAAGCTTGTAAACTCCTGCATCCTGTAAGGGGATGTTACATTTCATGGGTCTCAGGAACTGAGAAATCTTCCTCAGGGACTTGAAATAGGTCTTGATAGATGTAAATTGGATCTTAGTACTAAAAGAATTAGGATGGTCCAAGAAAGAAGGTATGCTATCTTTAGGTAATATTGTGAAAGTATCATCAACGTACCGTTTGAAAATCTTCGGCCTACCTGGGGCCATAGGTAAAACTCGCTCCTCGAAGTCTTCCATGAAAATATCGGCAACAACGGGAGATACCGGAGAGCCCATTGCTATACCGTCAATTTGTAGGTAGAATTCATTATTCCACAATAGATAGCCTGATGTTAGGCAGTGTTCTAATAATTCTGCATATTCAATGGACATATTATGTTCCTTCAGCTTTCTACGTACAATTTCAATGCAGTCTTTTACTGGTAGGTTGGTAAACAGCGACTTAACATCAAAACTGACCATGGTGTCATCATCAGTTAACCGTAGATCTTTGATTCCACTGATGAAATGGTATGAATCCTTTACATGTGTATTAGTGTTCCCTCTCAATGGTGACAGTACCTTTGCCATGTGTTGAGCCAGTTTGTAGGTTGGTGTATCAATCTGGCTAACTATGGGACGTCAGCGTATCGGAGTGCTTAGATATTAAGTTAGTTGTTGTTTTTAATATCTTGGTGGTAGGGTCTTTCTTCACCTTTTTATACGTGCTTTCATCCGATAGTAAGTCTATCTATAGATATAATCTGACGTATTCATGACCACCGTCGCGTTACCTTTATCTGCACGGAGGAAGGAGGAGGTACCACCTCAGTCAACCGTGACCATGGGACCTGTAAAGGGCCCGAAACGTTGGTTTGTTTGAAAAAACAAATATACGCGATTTAAATCCGGAAAAATAGTTTCATTTCCTATGTGTAACAATCGCGAAAACCTAAGAACTCGATACAAAATAGGCTTTTATTATTTATAATTTAATTGCTTGGTCGGCAATGACACGTTTACACGTATCCTCTTCGTCAAGCCAAGTTCGGTATAGAATGTTAATAACAAAACGTTGCTAGGCAACCAACGATGGCAGGTGTGAAGAACATTTTTGTCAATGCTCATTATTTAGACTAACTCTAACACTGGAATTTAATTAAGTAAGTAATTGTGTTATATAGAAGTAACACGCATTTATTACTTTTTATTTTGATAATATACAGGTAAGGTACAATAAAAGCTTAAATACTAGAAAGTTAAACTAGGATTTTTAAATTTTATGAATAAAATTGGGTTCCCGCGGTAACGTGCCCAAGACCCTGGCAGCGTTCCCGCTTTGAATGGCTATGCTAATGCGTTGGGCAAGGTAGCTAGCCCTTGGGTTTCCCAGACAGTCTATTAATTTTTTAGATAAAGAAGTATGCCTTTGAGTGCCCGCGAGTGTCTTTGAGTGCTTGCGAGTGCCTTTGAGTGCCCGCAAGTGCCATTAAATGTCAGCGAGTGCCTGTGTGTCCCTTCTAGTGCCCGCCAGTGCATTTGAGTTCCTTTGAGGGCCTTTGAGTGCCCACGAGAGACCGCGAGTGCCTTTGAGTGCCAGCGAGTGATAAACTACACTACAATAAGATTTTTCCTTGTGATTTTCTGTGTTATGTTAATGTAAAAAATACGTGCTTTCAATTATTTTTTGTGGTGGTGGGCGTTGATATTTTTTTATCTTGCCTAAGTTGCCAACAAGCAACAAGTTTGAAGTGAGCCAACAAGTTTGGGAACTTATGCTTTACATCATTCATCATCATTCCTTCCCCTACATGAAAGATGTTAATTAAGCCTAAATTCTTATGTTATTTATTTGTCCACAAAAAGTCACAATGGGGAAGTTTAATTTAAAAAAATACTACAATTTGACATGAATTGATATTTATTGCAATTCAACTTCAATAACACTGATCCACGGGTGCATTTCTTTTTAGTTGTTACTTGTTATGTGATGAGGACTGGATTTTTATCTGTAAATGCAAACAAATTCATCATTTCGACTCAGCCGAAGAACAACGGGCGATGTCATTATTCAGCGAAAAGAGGTTAAACATAATCTCGTTATTGAAAAGGCCTAGATGTTTTCAGATTTTTTATGTATTTATTATTTTGTTTTGGAAATTTAAAATCGAACAGTCGATCATGACTGTGGTTATCCGCAGTCAAGAACAATGAACGAAATGTACAATGTCCCGAGAACAAGCAGCACCTTGCCCTTGCAGGTCTTTGTTCTACGGATGAATCGATTTATTAGTGGCAGAATTTTGAATCAACACAAGATTATAATATGAATCTACAACAAAAATAACGAAACGCGTTTTATGGAAGACTCGAGCAAATCACATTTAGATAACTAAATACCTATAAAAGCCTTAATTTAGACTTACCCTGAGTCACACTATTAATCTGAAACAAACAAGGGCATCAATTATATTATAACACTCACAGATATAGAAAAATATGATCCTCTTCAAAGAGCATCTCGTGAATATTCAGAAGCACGTGAACATAATGTATATCGTATTGATCGCTCGTAATAGATATTTTTAGATAAAATTCGTATCCTCTTTAAAATTTGTAGTTGTGTTTTATGCCATTTTTACTAAAAAGTAAAAGTACATTTTAATTTTACCTAAAATAATTTTCGAAAATATCATCTGCTGGAATGCCTCAGGCTCTTTTTAGAATTTGTGTCTTGAAAAATTTAACTTTGCATTTAATCTAAATTTAAAACTTTTTGATCAATTTAAATAAAAATAAAATTCTTGTAGTATATTTTTGACATGACATTTTTCCGTCAAAATTGTAAGTTGCGCCCATGTGTGCTAAATTTAATCATACTGTCACATGGCGTCCGTAAGGCGTGATTGATGGGGGCTTGGATACACCATATCTGAGGGGCCTGTGGTCTTGGAGTGACTCGAAATAATAATTCACCCTTGACTTTTTTTTTACTCACCACACTTGTCCTTTTTGCCTCGCTTTTCTTTCCTGTCTTTATCACATTTCCCATCGTGCCTGTCATATTTGTCTTTCTTATCACATTTGTCTTTGTCATCGTTCCAAGGTCTTGGAGGATACGGTTTCGGAATTTTCGGTTTAGGACACGGTTTAGGACCCGGTTTAGGAACTTTCGGTTCGGGAACTTTCGGTTTAGGACACGGTTTAGGAACTTTCGGTTCAGGACGCGGTTCAGGACCTTTTGGTTCGGGAA